CCCCATTTTGATGCCGAAACCCCCAACACCCCATTTCCGCGTTAAAAAGCGGCGTTTTGGGGCAAAAACTCCCCCAACCGCCGCGTCCTCGCCGCGAAAACGGCCGTTTTCTCTTTTTTTGGGGGGAAAACCCCCAAATTCGGCGCCCGAATCCGCAGCCGATTATTTTTTTGCGAGCCCGGGAGATGCGCGGGGGCTCCGAGCCGCCCTTAACTCGCGATAATTCGCTGATTTGAAGCAGAAAATGCAATTTATTTCTTAGAAAAATGGATTTTATTTCCCCAACGAGCAAAAAAATCGTGATTTACAGGATTTTTTCCGGATTTTTTCCGGAAACGCCGATTTCCGAGCGGCGTTTTGGGGTGAAACCTCCGCGTTCGTGCCACTCGCGGGTGCTTTCTGCGTGTCGAGAATGCAAAATTTTTGGGGGAAAACCGCAACCGCGACGCTAAATTTCAGGAAAACGCCGAAAAATGGGAAAATTTCCAACATTTTTCCACACTTCCTGTTTTTTTTTTTCCTTTTTTTTGGTGTTATTTGCACTTTTTTTTCTTTCCCCTTTCAGACTTTGGCCCCTCGCAGAGCTCCCGCGGCCCTTCGCTGGAAAACCACCGCTCCCGTCTCGAAGTGACCCAAAAAAGCCTGAAAACGCCCCAAAAATAACGAGATTTCCGGCAAAACGCGGGAGCGGAGGTGAGGGGGGGAGCGCGGCGCGGCGCCGATCACCCGGCGTGACCCAAACCGCTTGGTTTTAGCCCCAAAATGGGGACGGGGGGGGAGGACGTGACCGCCGGGTTGGCTAAAATGAATATTTTTTAATTAAAATTTATGAATATTTATTGAAATCGCAGCTTCCGGAGGTGGCCGGGGGGATGCCGACGCGCGAGGTACAGCGGCGCTTCGCGGGGGGGGAGGGGGTCGATTTTGGGTTATTTGGGGGGGAATTTTTAGATTTTTTGGGAAAAGCGGGCTGCTTCGAAAACAGCAGATTTTAAAAATGAATAAATACAGGAAATTTGGGGAAAAAAGGGGGATTTTAGGTGTCGCGTTGCGTTTCCCAGCCCTTCCCCCTCCCCCGGAGCTGGTTAAAAATTAAAGCGGCGTCAACACGACCGGGCGGGATTTCACCCCAAAATCCGGCGGGGGCTCGGTGGTTG